TTTCAGGCAATTACCATTTTCAGCAAATACAGAAAATATCTGTTGATTGTGCCACAAATGCAGTTTTCCTGTGAATTCCCATGAGATTAAAAGATAGCACAAAGAACCCTGTCTTTGCTGTGTAAACAACTAGTCCCATCAATCCATCATGTAATGGAGATGAACAAAAGCAGATTTCTGCAACCTGTGTAGCAACCATGGCTACCACAACAGATATAATGGAGAAAAAAAAAATAAACCTAGAGGGACAGGAAGTACCTTATTCATAGGAATACATAGTGAAAAAAGCTAGGAAAACCAAAACTAATGCAGCCATGCATTTAAGGATTGGTAAGCCGCAACATAATAAACTTGTGTCTTTGGGTTTAAATAAGACCCAACCCCTGCCAGGTATTTTTTTATTTATGAAAACAGTGGTAAAGTCTTAAAACTATTTTTCAGTCTTTTTTTGCTGTCAGGTCTTAATTTGAATAGATGTCACCCCTTTTTCTGCCTAGTAACCACATGGGAAGTACAAATGTCCCCAACAGGGTCACAGACCACCATTGGTATTTTTAACATTTCCTGTACACTATAGAAAACAAAAAAAAAAATTGCTTGAAGTTAGGTTTTAAATCAAAGAAGTAAAGAAATATTATGTACCTAGTGGGTTATGTTGGGGGTCCTTCATACTCTGGATTCTGCAGTCCCAGAAGATATAAAAAGTGAAAGAATGCTACTGCACATTATGTTTTTATTTCAGTGAATTTATATTTTTCAAGTAGTACCTTATCAGTAGATTGTGTAGTGGGGCTCCAAAATGTATGAACCGGGAGGTCTATGCTGTGCACGTAAAACAGCTCAAAAACATTTTTTTTTGTTTGTTTCTTTTTTTTTTACAGCAACAGGCCAAAACAAGAAGTACAGGCAATTAGGGAATAATATTTCCAGACATGGATGGTGTTATGTATGCTGGTTCACACAGCTTTTTCTGTGTTATGAATGCCGATGAATGCAGAAGAGCTATCATGGCATTATCAGGTGTCTTGCAAATCACAACTGCATGTTAACACAGTATTCATAGAAAGTTCTAAAAACATTCATTACGTTCTATTTATGCAAAGAGTTGAACAATTATATGTGATCCAGTGGGTTGGCAATAAATATATAGATTTATTATATAGTAGGTGTACATACTAGTCATGACTGAAACAATTCACAGACATCCAGAACTCCTGATTCTGACATCCATAGAACCAGAGAGTTTTTTCAGAGAATCTATATTGGTTTTCTACGTATTTTACAAAATAATACTATGGAAACAATACTATTATGGAAAGGTATTAAACATGCAAGCAGTAAACATTGTTTGTTTTTTGGGGGTAAATGTGTTTTTTGGGTACCTTTAAGTTCTGCACAGCCATGCAACATGAATTTTCCACACTTCTACAGTCAGTAAATAGCCTATGAGCTTGGTTTTTGCTGTTTTATTAGGGGTTAACAACTTGGATAGGGTCTAGGAGTATATGGGATTATTATTATTATTATTATTATACAGTATTTATATAGCACCAAAAAGTTTGCTCAGCTCTGTACAGAGAAGTTGGGGACAGTACATGAGACAATACAGTAACAAAACAGTATACGAGGGGTTTGAGGGCCCTGCTCTTTCGAGCTTACAATCTAGGAGGGAGGGGATAGTGGCACAGAAGGAAGTGGCTGTGGGGGATGGAGTGGTAGCAGGAATGGAGGAGATCGGCTGTTAGGTGAGGGTGGGGTAGGCTTCCCTGAAGAGATGGGTTTTCAGGGTGCGCCTGAAAGTAAGAAGGGTAGGTGCAGGGGCGGACTGACAACTCATGGGGCCCCCAGGCAATAGGGGATCATGGGGCCCCTGTGTCCTTGCCCAAACTCAAAAAAGCCTATGAAAAGGTACCAGGGGCATCTCATGGGGCCCCCTACTGACTCCGGGCCCTCGGGCAGTGCCCGAGTTTCCAAATGGTCAGTCCGCCCCTGGGTAGGTGACAGTCTGATGGCTTGGGGTAGTTAGTTCCAGAAGATGAGGGAAGTCCTGAAGAAGTCCTGCAGTCGGGCGTGGGAGGAGGAGACCAGGGAGCTAGAAAGTAGGAGGTCTTGTGAGGAGCGAAGAGTGCGGGTTGGGTGGTATTTGGGTATCAGGTCAGTGAGGTAGTTTGGGGCAGTGTTATGAATGGCTTTGTACGTCAGTGTTAGTAGTTTGAATTTAATGCGTTGGGCAATCATGAGCCAGTGGAGGGAATGACAGAGGGGGGTGGCAAATGCGGAGCGGTTGGTAGGGTGGATGAGTCTGGATAGACTGAAGCGGGGATAGCCTGTGCTGGGGTAGGCCATTGAGGAGGGAGTTGCAATAGTCGAATCGTGAGATAATAAGGGAGTGTGTGAGTCATTTAGTAGTGTCTGGGATTAGGAACGAGCGTATTTTGGAGATGTTGCAGAGGTGGAGCCTACATGAGTTTGCCAGCGATTGGACATGGGGTTGGAAGGACAGGTTTGAATCTAGAGTGACACCTAGGACTTTAGCTTGTGGGGTGGGACTGATGGTGGCGTTGTTGGTCATGATGGAGTGGGTGGGGGCGCAAGCTGGGGGGAAAATTAGGAGCTCGGTTTTGGAAAGGTTTAATTTGAGGAAGTTGAGTGACATCCAGTCTGAAATGTCGTTCAGTAGGTCGTTTAATACGGGCGGAGACTGAGGGGGTGAGGCGAGGAGTGGAGAGGTAGATTTGTGTCATCGGCGTAGAGGTGGTAGTTGAAGCCGTGGGAGTGTATCAGTTGGCCAAGGGAGGAGGTGTAGATGGAGAAGAGAAGGGGCCCAAGGACAGAGCCTTGGGGAACCCCAACAGAGAGGGGGAGAGAGGGGGAGGTGGTAGCGTTATAGGTAATGCTGAAGGAGCGTTGGGATAGATAGGAGGAGATAGGAGGAGAGCCAGGAGAGAGCGTAGTCTCTGATGCCAAGGGAGTGTAGTTTACTAAGGAGGAGGGGGTGGTCAACTGTGTCGAAGACCGCGGAGAGGTCGAGGAGTAAGAGGATTGAGTAGTGGCCATTAGCTTTGGTGGTTAGAAGGTCATTAGTGATTTTGAGTAGGGTGGTTTTGTGGAGTGTAGGGAACGGAAGCCAGACTGTAGTGGATCGAGGAGGTTGTTGTCATTGAGGTGGGAGCTTAGGTGATTGTAGACTAAGCGCTCAAGAAGCTTGGATGTAAATGGCAGCAGGGAGATGGGTCTGAGGTTGCTCAGGTCGGAGGGGTCCAGGGAGGGTTTTTTTGAGCATGGGGGTGATGTGTGCGTGCTTTAGGGGGGAGGGGAATGCGCCAGTAGAGAGGGAGAGAGATGTGGGTGAGAGAGCGTAGGATGGAGGAAGAGGGTGACCGGAGGAGTTGTGTGGGGACAGGGTCAAGGGGGCAAGTGGTGAGGCGGGCTTCTGTAAACACCTTAGTGACCTCTTCAGTGGTAGCAGGGCAGAAGGAGTGGAGTGTTCGGGAGGCTTTAGTGTGCGAGATGTTAGGTGTGGTGGGGGTCAGGGCGATTGCGAGGTCAGAGGAGGGGAGAGTTGCAAGGGTTATATTGGGAGGGAGGCTAGGTGGGGAGGTAGATTGAACATTGGCAATGTCCCTACGGATTGCGTCGATCTTGTTTTGGAGGTGGTTGGCAATCTCATGGGCGGTGAGTGTGGTGCTGGGTGGAGGTGGGGGGGAGATAGTAGAGAGTTGAAGGTAGAGAAGAGCCGGTGTCAGGGCTCCCGGGTATGACCAGAGGTGTGTGACTGACGCAGGGAAACGCAGACTTCAGATAAGTTATAAACAATTTATTAACACTAACAATACAAACATAAACGCAGTGCAATACTAAAACATAACACAGTGCAAATGAACCCAAACCAAACCACCCACAGATAACAGTACATACAGTGCAAACGTCAGGCAGGCCGGGTCAATATCAATCGGGCAGGTAGGTACAGGGGGAGCAAGCGGAGAATAGTCAGGTCACGAGCAGGGTACAGCAACTAACAGGCAGGTAGGTACAGGGGGTCAGGCAGAGAATGGTCGGGGTCACAAGCCAGGGATCAGAACAGGAGAAGTCAGCAGAGGTCAGAATCAAGCCGGGTCAGCAACAAGACAGGAACAGGAACAGGAACAGGAGCAGGATGCAGGAACAAGATACAGGGCCCAGGAAAAACACAACACCAAGGCAGAGTCTGCAGGTCTGAATGTCCCTTAAATACACCAGTATAATTAGTTCCAGGTGTTTGACTGGCTGCAAGGTTGAGTCTCTGATTGCTGGGAACACCCGCTGGCCAGCCCTGGTACTGCAGCTCACAAGGCAGGTGAGTCCCACTATTGCTGGCCAGTCCATTCCTGACAGTACCCCCCCCCTCAAGGAGCGGCCTCAGGACGCTCCAAACAGTCCTAGCTGGGCAAAATGTTCCACCGCCCGGGTCTGGTAACTGGCGGGATATCAAAGACTGGCACACCGGGCAGGACTCCGGGCAGCGGCACACCGGGCAGGACTCCGGGCAGCGGCACACCGGGCAGAGGCACAGCGGGCAGAGGCACACCGGGCAGAGGCACACGGGGCTGGACTCCGGGCTGAGGCACATCGGGCTGGACTCCGGGCAGAGGCACATCGGGCTGGACTCCGGGCAGAGGCACATCGGGCTGGACTCCGGGCAGAGGCACATCGGGCTGGACTCCGGGCAGAGGCACATCGGGCTGGACTCCGGGCAGAGGCACATCGGATTACCAGGTAAAGCAGCAGGCACCGGGCCCCCAGGCGGGGCGACAGGCACCGGGCCCCCAGGCGGGGCGACAGGCATCGGGCCCCCAAGCGGAGCGGCGGGGGCGCCGGGCCCCCAGGAGGGGCGACAGGCATCGGGCCCCCAGGCGGGGCGACAGGCATCGGGCCCCCAGCGCGGAGCGGCGGGCACCGGGCCCCCAGGAGGGGCGACAGGCATCGGGCCCCCAGGCGGGACGACTGGCATCGGGCCCCCAGGCGGGGCGACAGGCATCGGGCCCCCAAGCGGAGCGGCGAGCACCGGGCCCCCAGGAGGGGCGACAGGCATCGGGCCCCCAGGCGGGGCGACAGGCATCGGGCCCCCTGGCGGGGCGACAGGCATCAGGCCCCCAGGCGGAGCGGCAGGCGCTCCGCCTGGGGGTGATCACATGATTGGGAGCAAAACTGAATTCTTCCAATTATTAGTATAGGCTGGGAGCTGTCATTGACAGCACTGTCTCACGGGTCAGGAGCATGCACAGCTGTACACTTTGTATGGGTCTTGCTGTGAAAGAAAATGTAGATAAATGTTCTCTCAACAGAAGGCGTTGTAGTAAAAATTTACATATTGCAGTTGCAAATCAGTTAAAGTGTATATAACCCCAAATGCAAAAATGTAATATATTGCAGATTACCAGTTCCTAGATGTGGTGGCAATAGTTTTCATTTTCAGGCAATTACCATTTTCAGCAAATACAGAAAATATCTGTTGATTGTGCCACAAATGCAGTTTTCCTGTGAATTCCCATGAGATTAAAAGATAGCACAAAGAACCCTGTCTTTGCTGTGTAAACAACTAGTCCCATCAATCCATCATGTAATGGAGATGAACAAAAGCAGATTTCTGCAACCTGTGTAGCAACCATGGCTACCACAACAGATATAATGGAGAAAAAAAAAAATAAACCTAGAGGGACAGGAAGTACCTTATTCATAGGAATACATAGTGAAAAAAGCTAGGAAAACCAAAACTAATGCAGCCATGCATTTAAGGATTGGTAAGCCGCAACATAATAAACTTGTGTCTTTGGGTTTAAATAAGACCCAACCCCTGCCAGGTATTTTTTTATTTATGAAAACAGTGGTAAAGTCTTAAAACTATTTTTCAGTCTTTTTTTTGCTGTCAGGTCTTAATTTGAATAGATGTCACCCCTTTTTCTGCCTAGTAACCACATGGGAAGTACAAATGTCCCCAACAGGGTCACAGACCACCATTGGTATTTTTAACATTTCCTGTACACTATAGAAAACAAAAAAAAAAATTTGCTTGAAGTTAGGTTTTAAATCAAAGAAGTAAAGAAATATTATGTACCTAGTGGGTTATGTTGGGGGTCCTTCATACTCTGGATTCTGCAGTCCCAGAAGATATAAAAAGTGAAAGAATGCTACTGCACATTATGTTTTTATTTCAGTGAATTTATATTTTTCAAGTAGTACCTCATCAGTAGATTGTGTAGTGGGGCTCCAAAATGTATGAACCGGGAGGTCTATGCTGTGCACGTAAAACAGCTCAAAAACATTTTTTTTTGTTTGTTTCTTTTTTTTTTTACAGCAACAGGCCAAAACAAGAAGTACAGGCAATTAGGGAATAATATTTCCAGACATGGATGGTGTTATGTATGCTGGTTCACACAAGACCTGTCGCTCCGCCTGGGGGCCCGATGCCTGTCGCCCCGCCTGGGGGCCCGGTGCCTGTCGCCCCGCCAGGCGGAGCGGCAGGCGCCGGACCCCCAGGCGGAGCGACAGGTCTTGGGCCCCCAGGCGGAGCGGCGGGCGCCAGACCCCCAGGCGGAGCGACAGGTCTCAGGCCCCCAGGCGGAGCGGCGGGCACCGGACCCCCAGGCGGAGCGACAGGTCTCGGCCCCCAGGCGGAGCGGCGGGCGCCGGACCCCCAGGCGGAGCGACAGGTCTCAGGCCCCCAGGCGGAGCGACAGGTCTCAGCCCCCAGGCGGAGCGGCGGGCGCCGGACCCCCAGGCGGAGCGACAGGTCTCGGGCCCCCAGGCGGAGCGGCGGGCACCGAGTCACCAGGCACGACAGTGGCACCGAGTCGTCTGGCAAGACTGCGGGCACCGAGTCGTCTGGCAAGACTGCGGGCACCGAGTCAACTGGCGGAACAGCGGGCATCGAGTCAACTGGCGGAACTGCGGGCACCGAGTCGTCTGGCAAAACTGCGGGCACCGAGTCGTCTGGCAAGACTGCGGGCACCGAGTCGTCTGGCAAGACTGCGGGCACCGAGTCGTCTGGCAAGACTGCGGGCACCGAGTCGTCTGGCGGAACAGCGGGCACCGAGTCAACTGGCGGAACAGCGGGCACCGAGTCGTCTGGCAAGACTGCGGGCACCGAGTTGTCTGGCGGAACAGCGGGCACCGAGTCAACTGGCGGAACAGCGGGCACCGAGTCGTCTGGCAAGACTGCGGGCACCGAGTCGTCTGGCAAGACTGCGGGCACCGAGTCGTCTGGCAAGACTGCGGGCACCGAGTCGTCTGGCAAGACTGCGGGCACCGAGTCGTCTGGCAAGACTGCGGGCACCGAGTCGTCTGGCAAGACTGCGGGCACCGAGTCGTCTGGCATTATACAATCTCTTAGTACCTGTGGTGAACATGCAGAATAACACTCCAGAAAGTAACCCACATCATCCTCTAATAACCACACCAGGGCTCTACCTGGTCTGCACTAAATGGTGGCAAAAATTCATCCCTGCATTCGGGGGTACCAGATGAAACCAACTCAGCACAAACCTCAATCAATGGCTGCACCTCAGAGAACTCTGTGCCCTGATCTACTAGAACATGAGCGAGCCGTATACATTCTAGCAGTTCATCCCGGGTATACTCCTTCAGAGTTTGATAAGCATACTCCCTGTCATCAAACACTAGCAGATATAAATACGCAACCTCATCCAGATCCATCCTTCCCATCAACAAACCAAGATGGCTTCCCTGTGCAGCCACTTCTGGTCAGGATTGGCCTTGGTGTAATGTCAGGGCTCCCGGGTATGACCAGAGGTGTGTGACTGACGCAGGGAAACGCAGACTTCAGATAAGTTATAAACAATTTATTAACACTAACAATACAAACATAAACGCAGTGCAATACTAAAACATAACACAGTGCAAATGAACCAAACCAAACCACCCACAGATAACAGTACATACAGTGCAAACGTCAGGCAGGCCGGGTCAATATCAATCGGGCAGGTAGGTACAGGGGGAGCAAGTGGAGAATAGTCAGGTCACGAGCAGGGTACAGCAACTAACAGGCAGGTAGGTACAGGGGGTCAGGCAGAGAATGGTCGGGGTCACAAGCCAGGGATCAGAACAGGAGAAGTCAGCAGAGGTCAGAATCAAGCCGGGTCAGCAACAAGACAGGAACAGGAACAGGAACAGGAGCAGGATGCAGGAACAAGATACAGGGCCCAGGAAAAACACAACACCAAGGCAGAGTCTGCAGGTCTGAATGTCCCTTAAATACACCAGTATAATTAGTTCCAGGTGTTTTGACTGGCTGCAAGGTTGAGTCTCTGATTGCTGGGAACACCCGCTGGCCAGCCCTGGTACTGCAGCTCACAAGGCAGGTGAGTCCCACTATTGCTGGCCAGTCCATTCCTGACAGCCGGCGAGGATGGTAGGAGAGGAAATTGATGAGGGTTATGAAGTAGGGAGTCTAAGGCAGCTGACAGCGAGTTGTTATACGCAGTAGTGGCCAGGCCAGGGCAGGACAGTGGAAGGATACTGTTTGAGGATGGGGAGACGGAGAACGTAATGAGGTTGTGGTCAGAGAGAGGGAAAGGGGTGTTAGTGAGGTTGTGGAGGGAGCAGAGATGAGAAAAAACGAGGTCCAGGGTGTTCCCGTCGGTGTGGGTGGAGGACTGTGTGCACTGTGTGAGTGCAAAAGAAGAGGTTAAGTGGAGGAGCTGGGATGTAGCCGGGTTGTTGACGTTGATAGGGATATCGAAGTCTCCAAGGATGATGGTGGGTAGCTCAGAGGAGAGGAAGAAGGGAGAAATTGTCAAGGAAGCGGGATACGGGTCCAGGAGGCCGATAGATTACTGCAATCCTCAGAGGGGTGGGAGAGAGCCGGATGCAGTGGGCCTCAAAGGAGGAGAAGGACAGAGAGGGGGGGTTTGGGAGGACCTGGAAGGTGCTCAGCGGTGACAAGAGCATGCCCCATTACCTCCACGACCTTTCGGTCTGGGTGAATGGTCCAGACGAGACCTCTATAGGAGAGTGCCGCAGGGGAGGCAGAGTCAGTGGCTTGGATCCAGGTTTCGGTGACCGCTAGGAGGTTGAGGGAGTGGTAGATAAAGAGGTCATGGATGGCAGTAAGCTTGTTGCAGACCGATCGGGCGTTCAGGAGTGCACACGAGAATGGAGAGGTGGATGTGGGGAGCAGGGGGACAGGTATTAGGTTGAGGGTGTTGCGGCAGTTTGTGGGAGTAGGAGGGTGCCTAGTGGGTGAGTGAGGTGGTGGGGGACCAGGGTTCGGGGAGATGTCCCCAGCGGTTAGGAGAAGAAGGGTAAGAAAGGTGGCATGGGAGCTGGATGTGCAGGAGCGTATAAGTCTGTTAGTGGTGCCGTGTGGGTCGGTGGGAGAGTGGAGTATTAGGAGGAGGTGGTGAGAGCCATAGTGGAGAGATGGAAGCAGTGAGGGAGCGATGTATAGTTGTTTTTGGGGGAGTAGGGGGTAGAGAGAGGAGATTTTGGGAATGGAGGAGAGGAGTATAAGGAGGAGGAGTACAGGTGGCATATTAGGAGGGTAAGCGGAGTGGTGGTCAGGTGAGGGAGGTGAAAGGTTACTCAGGACGCAATGTTGCGGAAAGTCCATCGTGCAGTGGCAAATCACGTTGACGTAGCTTCTTGTAGCAGGAGTTCGAGTGATTAGGATCTGTGTGGATAGGGATCAGTTCAGCAATTTGTAGGTTGTAAGTTCCAGTTAGCGTGAGTCCCAGGTTAGAAGGTTATGAGGGAGTCGCCAGGTGGGTTGCAGGTCAGGATGGGGTTGAATGTCCAATGGGCACGGGAGGTCTGGGATGGTGGGTCTTGCCGAGGCAGGGCCGTTCTCCGGGGGTAGGGTCGCTCGCCAAGTCTACTCCAGGGGGTGGATAGAGGGGTCTCGGGTCAGGGTCGGGCCACATCTTGGTAGGCAGTGGCAGGTCTCACTACTCACGGGGGTGGGCAGGAAGGCCTCAGGGCCAGGTCAGGCCACGACGTGGGAGGCCGAGTCGGGTCTCGCAGGCCGGGTTCATCTGAGGGTTCAGGAGGAGAAGGAGATGGGGACTGCAGGCTCACAGTTGCGGGGAGTGTGCCGTAGTGGGTCTAGATGATCTTTTAGACTGCAGGCTCACTGCTGGGTGGATTGCCGGAGGAGCATGCAGGGGTAGGCCGCGGTAGGCCTCGCCAGACCGGGTGCTGTAATTGCTTTGGAGGGGGGGACTGGGTGATACCGCTCCACCCTCCAGGTGCGTGTGAGGTTGGGGGGGGGGGGGGTCTTCATTGCTCACCTTCAATCGATTTTGGATGCCCAATGGAACTAAATCAACTTGGAGGACAACTTCTTAGACACAAAAATTCAGCAAAAAGCACAGAAAGAACAGATCCTAGGCTATTTACTCCTTCAGGAGTAGCTCTTATCTTCTGAACAATTGACACACAGGCTTTGCAAGTAGCACTTGATCCCCTTAAATGATCCTCCCCAGACCCCAGATGAAAATTTCCTCATCCGCCTGGCTGTCTTGAGAGTATCCCAGGGCAAGGGATTCTGAGACACACAAACAGTGTAGTCCCAGGTAGAACTAGTTGGGTATTGTACTTAACCGCCCTCTCGCTTCTTTGGCCCAGGAGGTGTAGAAGTACTTACACTGTCCTGTTCCTGTAGCTTTAAAGGTTGAAGCTGGTTTCAGGCCTTACACTGTGCTAGCTCCTTCCCTGCGGACAGTCTGTCTTTCCCTGGTAGACTGTGGCACAGTGGCAGTCCTTCTTTCCAGCTTCCAGCCTGTGGGCAGACCAACTTCTTTTGTGGCCTCTCCTAGGCTCCACACCAGCAGCACTTCCTCACTCCATCTTCCACCCAACTCCCCTATTGACCAGGCTCTTTCATATTTAAGGGCTGACCTAGCCACCATGACAGGCCTCCTGCCTTATATTGGCCAGAATCCCCTAAGTATGCAGATCATCTCTTCCTCACCCCTCACCTACTGGCTTCTAGAAACTTCTCCAAGTTTCTAGAGCAGGGGGAGGTACCAAAGAACTGACTTATAGAGCCCAACCTTAGCCTTAAGTAACCTCGCTGACTCACTCCCAGGCTGACTCCTTCCCAGGCTTCTAGCAAGCCTCTACCTATGCAAACACAAAAACTATCTTACACTAGAAGGTGTTACATCAAGGCTGAAGATTTTTTACCTTCATACATTCCGTTCATGAAGGCAAAAAAACCTTCAGTGTGCAGCTCCCACCTCAGCCCTCCTAATACTTACCTGAGCCTGAACTTGATTCAGCAAGGAGCACAAGAGCAGAGTTTCTTCCAGGCCTCTCCCTCCTCATTGGCTGAGGCACAGCAGTGGAAGCCCACTGGCTCCCGCTGATTTCAATTACAACCAGTCAGGAGGGAGCGGGGGGAGCTCTGTGTGCACACAGCTCGGAAGCAAGCAGCCATGTGTGCCTTCAGAGCAAGCTGAGCTCTTGCTCTGGAGGCACTCAGCAGGTGGGAGAAGCCAGGAGTTTTGGCAGGGTATCTGGGAAGAGGAGGATTGGAGCTGCTCTGTGCAAATCCATTGCACAGAGCAGGTAAGTATGACATGTTCGCTGCCACTCCACCAGTTACTCACATGATTTACTAAAACTGGAAAGTGCAAAATCTGGTGCAGCTTTGCATGGAAGCCAATCAGCTTTTAATTTCAGCTTATTCAATTTGAGTTGATTGTAGCCGTATTAGTGCATTTGCAACA